TTACTTACTTACTTACTTACTTACTTACTTACTTACTTACTTACTTACTTACTTACTTACTTACTTACTTACTTACTTACTTTTCTAAATCTGGGTAAAGATGATTTCAGCTTATTTGTGAGCACAATAAAAATAAAATAATAATGTTGTAAAATGGTGATTTTGAACCAACATTGTAAGGTTTGCACTTCCTCACTTCGCAGAAGCAAATATATTTATTATTTTATGTGATTAACGTAGTTTGAACATTTAACCCACAGTCATCTGAACAGCACCTGTGAAATGTGATGTTTTAATCAGGAAATGTTTGAATTAGTGGGTGTGCCTGGTTGTAAAGTGAAGTAAATACAGCTTCATATTAAAAGTGACATCCTGTTTCAGCGTTCACAGAAATAAAAATGTTTAAATTGTAAACAGAAAAGTGCTGCTTTTTGAGGGAATTTGATGATGTGATTGCCAATTAATATGAGAATTTCAATGAAAGCACAAACTTTAGCAGTTAGATGGTAAAAAGTCTGTGAGTGTGGGTGTGTGTTAACATCACCTAGAAGGAAAGACAAGCAATAACCTTAGAGGATGAGCTGCTGATGGCTGCCCATCTATCTGTGTTGGAGTTCATCTTTTTACACCAAAAAAAAAAAAAAAACTTTTGTGTGCAGAGTTCAAGACCGCTGCCAAGCTGTTCAGGAGCCGACATCCTCAACCCTGAAATCAGACCAATAAAGCTTACACAGGAAAGAAACACAAGATAAATGCTAGTACAAATAGTCCAACTGGAAAGAAGGCTAAACAAATACTGCATGTTTGAAAAGGGATCGGAAAGCCTCTTTTTTTCCTTTTAAAAAAACACACCATGCTCAGGTTTCCAAAGCTGAAAACAACACAAGTTTTCTGGAACAATGTCCCGTGGACAGGCAAGACCAAAACAAGGCTGTTTGGAGGTGGATGGATGATGTTTAAGGTTTGTTTTACAGACGCAGTGACCACCTTTCAGTCATTAAGTCAAACATGAACTTCTCTGTAGACCGAAGGAGTTTCAAGTCAAACTGTTTCAACAGCTGGCACCTAAAGGGGAACAGGAATATGGTCCCAAACACGTGATCAAACCTACGACTCCACAACTGACAAAGTAAAGAATAAAGGTGCTGCAAATGTTCAGAACTAAAACCAACAAATGACGACTGTGCAGCAAGACAGCCTAATAAACATTAACAAACTAAACTAACATTTAATGAGCTGAAATTATTTTAAAAGGATCTGAGTCTGTTTATCTGAAAATGTGTCTTGTTTTAATCCAAGTTATTTAATAACAGGTATCGTAAAATCACTACTTTTATCAGTACCTGCCTCTTCTTTATTGTAATATTTATACTGCAGTATTTGTGTTTAATATATCTCCTGACCCCCAATGTACCTAAAACTTTTGACTGAAAGATGATATACTTTTTAAATTAACTGTTTTGTGTACAAGTCTGTTAAGATCATGCTGTGCCTTTTCTTAGTATGTCAATAAATAAATAAAAATTTTAAAAAATATTCTAGAAAAGTGGAAACTGTTGAATGATTTTAGACAGAACTGTCATCTGTTACCTTTTTCCAGCAGTCTCAGCTGGACATACACATTCAAATGTCCGGGCCCAGGAAAGGACAAACCACTGGAAAGAATAGCAAACAACTTTGATGCTGACCTTTAATTTCCGAGAGAGGTTTGTAATTTTTCTAATAGCTCTGGTGCACAAACAAAATCCCAATGACTTTGGTTTTTCCACAACAGGCACATGTCACTGTCTGACATGGTATCCAATATCTAAAAGGTTTACCTGAGGTGGGGAAGTGAACACCATCAGCTTATTAGAACAAACAGTCTGAGATTTAATCATCATTATTCCCATAAACAATAAAAACTCAGTTTTATTAATAAATGCTTGCCCAAATTTTATGACCTCGGTTTGGAAATAAGTGCTAGAATTATTAGAAGAATTTGCTGAAGAAAAACTCAAAATTCTGCTGCTGTGAATGCAACTGTTTTTTCATTTAAAAAGTTATTTTTAAGCATGTTTTAGATGTTATTATACAAAATAACTTTAGGTAGTCGTTTAGATACAATTATATTGTTTTGCCTAAAGGAGATTAAACTGTCAATGTTACTTTGATGTTTTCCAGATAAATTATTTAGGAATATTTAAGTTGGCAAACTGATTATAACACAATAAAGATTTACAATAGCACTTTTTTATGCATTCTTGAACTGAGGAAGTTTAGGATCCTGGAAAACAAAAGCATCTCTGCACACGTACAGGTTTTCGCACCTTTTGAATGACTTCAGGCAACAACTATTAAACAGAGCCCCTTCCGTATGAGAGACAGAAGCTGTGATTTTCGGTGGCTCTTGATTGGTTCAAATATATAGACGTTTCAATTTTTGGCTTCTTATTGGCTGATTGCTTTGGAGTGACGTAGCAAACCAACCAATGAGAGACTGCCACACTGTGATTACGAGAAAACGTCCCGCTGGCTGAGAACGTCTTCACCGCCTCCATCCCTCTTTCTCTTTCTCTTATCACAGTCAGCCTCGGCCCTGTTAGAGTATCCTGCAGCTTTGGCGTGTACGTTGCAGAAAGAACCGAGGACGGGGCAGCCACGGATAACATCTACGATCCTAACAGCGTGTGGGGTAATTAAAGTGAGGAACTAGCACAGTGTGCCATGATGTTGAGGCTGATTTTTCTAGTGGCTCTCGCCGGGTTCTCCCGGGCCAGTGATGTCCTGGAGTACACGGATGACGATTTCGAAACCAGGATTGGAAGCCACGATCTTATCCTGGTCGAGTTTTTTGCACCTTGGTGAGTCATTTCAGATTTACTGTGGATACGTTAGCGTAGCATTTAGGTCAAAATGCTACCGTGTTTTTTTTTTTTTTTTTTTAAACAAGGCAAGCTAGTAAGTAACCACCTTCTGTGTGCAAAAACTGATCACCACTTAGGTGAAAAGTATTTGTGAGGCTTAGTTGTTTTTTCTGTTTTTTTAAATTGATTTTGGTTGTAGCAGTTTCGTTCAATTTGCATCCTATCAGGTCATTTAATTGAAATTAATCGAATTATTTTTGCCTTTTTGGCTCGTGACCAATTGTTAGCGTGCTAGCTTGAGGCGGAAACGTACAAAGCAAATTTTCATCCTGAAAGGGTTTTTTTCATTTTATTAAAACTAGAAATTAATAATTAGCATGGTTCACCGGTACAAAAATGTTTTGAGGTTGTTCTGACGCCGTAAAAGTTAAATGTTAGATATAATTTTGTGTGCAAACTGTACGGGAATGAGTCTACAAGGAAGTTGAGGGGCGTGTCCTCGGTTATAGCTCTCTGATTGGCTGGTGAAGTTTTGGTGTCCATCTCCGATTGGTCTAAAAGAAGTGTGACGTGTTTACACGGTGCTAAACTTGAATAAACTTAAAATGAACAATCGTGCGTTTTTAATTCAAAACGAAATGTTTTAAAGCCAGCATGGCACCCAATTATGATTCACTTCAGATGTGAATAAAGCACGACAATAAAGTTGTGATTGATTGACATTCAACAAAGGACATTGGTAAAAAAAATCTCTAGAAAATTGCCATTTTTAAGTGTATAAACTTACCTTTTTTAAAAACTGCAAAGAAATGTTTATTATTTATAGTGATTTTTTTGTCTATTAGCTTGTTAAACACATTTTAATACCATTTTATCTAAAGAAGTATCAAGTTTCACACTGTAAAGGAAAACATCCTCCCTGCAGCTTTAATCTGACGTGTAACTTGTTCTCCTGTTTGACTGGTTCAAATCCTCTTTTATAGGTGTGGCCATTGTAAACGGCTTGCACCTGAGTACGAGGCAGCAGCCACACGTCTGAAAGGCATCGTCCCACTTGCCAAGGTAATCCACAGTTCAGTTCCCTGAGCTTTAGAGTTGCTTTCTGCACTCTGGTCTAGAGCTTAAAGGTACACATTTGTTTTTGTCTTCAGGTTGACTGCACAGCCAACAGCAATGTGTGCAGCAAATATGGTGTGAGTGGATACCCGACCCTGAAGATCTTTAGGGATGGAGAGGAGTCTGGTCCTTATGACGGTCCCAGATCTGCAGGTACTTTCCCTTCTTTGATATCGCAAAAGAAGTTTTTTTTGTCAGCTTTTTTTCTGACCCTTGCCTCATGTCAGTCTTTTTAAAATTTCCACTTTGTTCTTTTTCCTGTGTGAAGACGGCATTGTTAGTTTTCTAAAGAAGCAAGCTGGCCCGGCTTCGGTAGAGCTCAAGACCGAGGCAGACTTTGAGAAGTTTATTGCCGATAAAGATGCAAGTGTCATTGGTCAGTGAAATTTTGTGCAGCACAACATTAACGCCCTAATCAGCCACACTGAAGTCATCACTAGTGTTGCGTCCTGCATTCGTGTCTGAAAGGGATTTCTTTCCTTCGCAGGGTTCTTTGCCGATGATAGAAGCACAGCTCAGGCAGAGTTCCAGAAGGCAGCCAGCAACCTGAGGGATAATTATCGCTTTGCCCACACCAACTCTGAAGACCTCCTCAAGAGCAACAACATCGATGAAGAGTGAGCAGTTCTTTCAGCTCTGACATTAAAATCAGTTTCCTGCAGTCATTCCTGCAGGAGGGGGGTGGGTGGGTAATAGGGGTGTAAGAAAATATCGATACACTGAAATATCGCGATATTTCTTTTCCTGATACTGTATCGATATTCTAAAGCCCTGTATCGATTTTAATTGAGGTTTAAAATGTCAACCTTCTTGCCAACCGTTCATTTTTATGTTGTAGTTCATCCTCTGACCACTAGTTGGCAGCAGTGAGCCAGCCATTTGGCTTCTCTACCTCTTGAGCGCCAGAGAGTAAGGGTAGTCTTTGCATTGTAGGAGACAATGTAAGCATTGTAAGTTAACATTAGCTTTTCTTATTTTTTTCAGTAAGAGGTTTTTATTTAATAGAATTTTTGGACAAAAAAATTGCAATATATCACAATATATCGCCTCGCTTACAGTATCACAATATATCGGGATATATCGTATCGTGACCCCTCTGTTATGATATGTATCGTATCGCCAAATTCTTGCCAATACACAGCCCTAGTGGGTAATGAAAGGTCTAGGCTCTTTCAGGTCTAAGGTTTTATACATCAGGATGCATCGAACTGATCTAATCTTTACCAAGTTCTAAAGTTTGTCATATCTGACAGCAACCAAACACAGATTAATTTAAACACTGATAACAGACAGTATTTTTTTCATGACTACTTAATAAGTTTAAACAAAAATGGGTCTTTTTCACAACATTTTTAGGATTAATATACAGAGGTAGACGTAAAAGATGAAAAAAAGGGGAAGAATATGAAATAACTGTAGGCTTTTTCTGTGTTTTGACACAGCATCAATAAAAGATTTGTAAAACTCTTTAAGTATTTGGTGTCCCCAGCTCAGCTGCCTTGATGCAGGCACGATAACTTCCTCTCTCGATTTGCAGGGGCGTCATCCTGTTCCGTCCACAACGCCTCAACAACAAGTTTGAAGACAGCTCTGTGAAATTCAGCGAAGACAAATTCACCAGCAATAAAATCAAGAGATTCATCCAGGACAACATGTGAGTATTTCAGATCTACGTCGGTTTAAAAGGCAAACCTGTCTTCTAGTTGACGAGCAGAATTTTTTTTCTCTTATTTTGTTGAGCTGAAAGTGTTTCCTCTGCAGTCACTTCAAATCAATGCTGGCATCAAGTAAAAATATCTGTTACAGTAAACTGTTAATTAAATAACCAGTCCCGTTGTGTAGAGAGAGATAACCATAAGACATTAGCTGAGGCAGAAAGGAAACTTTTAAAGTTCAGCACTTTGTTGGAGATGAGATGTTAGTGACTCCCCTGTATTAAAAGCTGCAGGGAAAGAAGATAAACTGGTTGATTGTTTCCATTAACGGATAAAACCACAGCCTCCTGTGTACCTGGATTAGTTTTCATACATCCATCTACCTTTTTTTTTCCTTTTTCCTCAAACTTTTCTGAAGGCAGTTTGGTTTGAAGTGTTTTTATTTGGCTGCAGGTTTTTCTAAAAGCACCTGAGCTCTGATCGTTTGTTACATTAAAGTTTGAATCCTAAGATGACGGAGAACGGAATAGGGGCAAAATGTGACTCCAGTAAGAAGAGCATGTTAAAGGAATGTATACCAGGATGTGTCACACTGACAAAATGTAATATGTTGTGTTTTTTTTTTTTATCAGTTATTTGTTTTGTGTACTGGTTTATTTTTTTATTTCATCTTCCTACAACAGATGAAATTTAATAACTTGAGTTAATTCCAGCACGTTTTATATTGAGATCAAAACAGCAGCATCGCTTCGTGTTGACTGTTCTTGTAAGTAAATGATTTTATTTAATTGATTTAATCTGATTTTATTTCCTCTCCTCAGTTTTGGAATCTGTCCTCACATGACAGACGACAACAAAGACCAGCTGAGAGGCAAAGACCTGCTGGTGGCTTATTACGATGTGGACTACGACAAGAACCCCAAAGGCTCCAACTACTGGAGGAACAGGTTGGTTAGCGCTCAGCTTCCACGTTGAACCACGGTCTGTTGAAGCGGTATTCAGAGCAACACCTGTTTGGTGATGAATTGAATTAAATCCTTTCTAGGGTGATGAAGGTCGCAAAAAGCTTCCTGGATCAGGGCAAGAAGCTGAACTTTGCTGTCGCCAACAAGAACCAGTTCAACCACGAAGTGTCCGAGTTCGGCCTGGAGGCCAGCTCAGAGCTGCCTGTGGTGGCCATCCGCACCGCCAAGGGAGACAAATACGTCATGAGCGAGGAGTTCTCGTAAGTCCTGATCTATTATTGTGAAAGGTTTGCTAGTTTCTACTACATTAGTCTTACAGCACCTGGGATTCCTGGGTCTCCCATCCAAGTGCTAACCAGGCCTGGCCCTGCTTAGCTTCCAAGATAAGACTGATGTTTTTTTTTTTAAAAGAGTTTTTCAGAAATTAAAACAAGTTTGTCACATTCACTGACAGATCTTTGAGTTTATCATAAAATCAAAATGAAACTTTAACAGGGTTCCTGTAGATCCTTAAAGTCTTAAAAGGTCTTGAATTCATCAATCCAAAAATAAGGCCTTAATTAGCCTTAAAATGTCTTAAATCAATCTTTCAGAAGTCTTAATGTTGAAACATTGTAAGCAGGATGATTGTAATTCATCTCAAATATTAAAATAATTGGTAACATTTATTTTTTTAAATGTTCACATGCAGACATTCCCGTTCAACATCACTTCCTGTTGTTTCACATGCAAATATTTCAACTGTTCATCTGAGCAACATGAAATTTGTTTTGTAACATGTTAATGTTGTTTTTCCAAGAAATGCATTCACTTTTCTTAAAAAAAATTTTGAAGTCACAGGCACTTTAAGCTTTCATCTACAGCAAGTTAGGGTTAAGAACCCACTGTGGGTCCTAAAACTCCAAATTTTGGGTTGTTAGAGGATTTCCTGAAATTAAATTAAGGTTAAAACTGACTGCTAAGGTTTCTGCTATAGATATGGATAAAAACAATTGGTCTATTAGCAGTATTTGAATACTTCAACCAAAAATACTTTGAATCATAAGTTTCTGCCAGTTTTAATTTTTTTTTGTCATTTGTGTTTATTATGAAATTGATCTTATATTAAATTTCGCTTGGCATTAAAAAGTCTTAAATTTAACTTTAAACTGTAGGAACCCTGTTTAATGTTAAAAGAAGGACTTCCAGCTTCAGCTACAGTTCAGGTTTTGCTTTTCCAGCTCTGATTTGTTTCATGTTGTCCCGACAGCCGAGATGGAAAAGCCCTGGAGCGTTTTCTGCAGGATTACTTTGATGGAAAACTGAAGCGCTACCTCAAATCTGAACCAATCCCAGAGAACAATGATGGACCTGTGAAGGTAAGGAGTCTTTCCTAACCCCGCTGTTGGATTTAAAATGAAACCTTTTCATTCTAGACTCATCTAATTTTGTTCTGCACTGTACATGTTAACAGCAGTAAAGCTGTGTTGAATATTAAAGGACCATTACTGTTGATTTTAACCCTCATGTTGTCTCTGAATTCAAATATTTATCTCTACCACTTGTTTTAATTATGTTAAGGACAGAAGAACCAGCATATTACTAAAACATTGTTTTATCTGAGCTGTAAGTTGTGCAGATGGAGAGCTCTGGTTTAAAGCTGCCTAGAAGACGCAGCACAGTTTTTGTGTTGTTTTGAACAGCTGTAACGTTCCTGTTTGTCTTCAGGTTGTTGTGGCCGAGAACTTTGACGCCATCGTCAACGATGACAGCAAAGACGTTCTGATTGAGTTTTATGCACCGTGGTGCGGACACTGCAAGAACCTGGAGCCGAAGTACAATGAGCTGGGAGAGAAGGTACGCACGATAGGTTTACCTGCAAAAGCTTCATTTTTACACAGACTTCAGAAAAGCAGGAAGTGAGATATTTGTTCTAAATGTTTGAAGATGTTAGTTGACGCTTCTGGACCAAACAAGATGACAGTTTTGGGACTTTTAGTTCTTCAGTAGAAAAGTTATAAGGACGTGTTTATTTTTGCTGTGATTACACAACACTTGACCGATGGTTAGTGCGGTCATGTCACTCGTGACATTCATCAGTCACAGTAATGGCAGATGAAGGAGGAGCTATGTGATGTGGGAGTTTCAGAGATCAGTCTCGATGCTGCACACAGAGCACGTAAGAAAAAAAAAACAATTTTTTTTCTTTAGTGATCCATGATTAGTTGCAACATTAAGACTTTATTTAATAAACATATATTTTAACTGTAAAATAAAGACTGTAAAAATACTGTAGGCTGTTTAGTTATCATTTTTGAACTAAAGGTTTAGCCCCGACGCTATCATCATATACTGTAAATGTATTAGCTCAGCGCTACACATTCTCCTCTCGTCACTGAGGTCCTCCATCCACATGACAGAGAGGGGAACGCAAAAATGACTCAGCCTGTAACTGAAAATATGGATGGAGGACCTCAGTTTAGCTTCTTTGTCGCGCTAGCGCCGAGCTAATACAAATGATATATAGCATATATATCATATATATGATACTGTATATATATTTTTGTTAGAGACTGAGAGTCCACTTTGTTAAACATTCTTTTAAAAATTAAAATTTATTGATTTATTACACTTACATATTACGCTTTTATAATTATTAGTTGTAAAATGGTCACCAGGCAATATTATCGCTTATCGCAATAATTTTTGAGACAATCGCCCAGCAAAATTTGTTATTGTGACAGGCCTGTTTACATGCATCACGTTCAAAACTATCCCTTTTGTATTTCTTTATAAAATGCATGAATTTGAGTTTTTGCACCAATAAGTAAATTTTCTAAATCTACTAGTTAAAAAATTGACAATTGACACAATTATATAAGTGTTTCAATATAAAGCAGTAGGCCTTTTCAAAGAAACCTAAAAAAACATTTTTAACCTTTTTTAAATCATACGTGAGCGTGAAATGACATTGAATTACATGTCATGTGCTTTTAAACTCAGACCTTATCAGAAACCAGGTCAGTGGGAGGAAGTCTGCTGGGTAGAGAAAAATGGGGAGATGTGAATGAACTGTACTGAAAAAACGGCACCCTGATTTTTACACGTTTGTTTTCATAAAACTACTACCTGAAAGAAAACTCTAGTTTTCTGATTTATTTAAAATGAAGCTTTGGATCATTTAGAAAGAAAACGTAGTTCTGAAGAATGGAGCATTTTTGAAAATAAACTTTTTTTAAGATAATTTCAGCTCGACATTAAAAACCACAGAGCATTCAGATTCGAACCTTTCAACATTTAAACAATTTATTGCCAGTGAAGTTAATCTCTGTACTCTTGCTCTCCTGCAGATCCTCAGTATACTTGAAAACAAAGTGGTCGTGGGTCACTCCATCTATAATGACTTTGAGGTGTTGGCCATGGTCCACCCTGTTCACCTGGTCAGGGACACATGTACAACACGTCTCCTCAGCCGACTGGCCGGCTTCTCTCAGAAACGGTGTTCTTCTCTTAAATTCTTGTCCTGCACGCTGTTGAACAGGCAGATACAGGTAACTGTCAAATACAGTCATTTGTTTGATGTAAAGTAGGTTTTACAGCCATGTCCTTGAGAAAAGAGTAGTCTGAGTAGATAGAAGATTACATGATGACACATATCTGAGGTCACTCACTGTTAGTTTCTCTCTCTCTCAGTACTTTGCTGATGGTTTCGTCTGTTTTTCTGCCCAGACTGGTAGGAAAGGTCACTGTTCAGTTGAGGACGCTCGGGCTGCCCTCGACCTCTACAAGCTGGTGGAAGGAGAGTGGGAAAAGGAGCTGCAGGACAAGCTGAGAGACGACGGCACTCAGCTTGAGCCCAGCTTCACCTCGTCGACTCACTACATGCGGGACGAGTACTGGCCGGATGAGGTCAATGCAGACAGTCAGTGAAACGGGACACGTTCACATTTGAAGTCTCAGGACCTCACTGCAGAGGAGTCAGAACAAGTTCAAATAATACTAATGTGAATGAAAAACTTGGATATTTAAACAAACAAAAATGTTAGGAGACCAACTAAATGTGTCAACCTTGTACCTCACATAAAGATGTGATATATCTAAAGGGAAGCAGTTTATTAACTTAAATAAAACACTATGGCAAGTTGTTCTTATACTGAGTTGTAATGGTCCAGTGCTCGCTGTCACCATGTTGGTTTGAAGATCTGTTTATAAAGTTAACCATGCTTCTGAAGTTAAGATTTGGTGCCATTTGAGTTGAGGTTAAATCACTTCCTGTGTTTGAAGTTTTAACACATCTGCTGTGTCTTTAAAGTGTTTAAATTGGTACTATAAATAGTTAAATAGTTATTTTTCAAAATCTAATCATTAACCTGAACCAAAACAAAACAATGCTTTTAACGTAACATTCAGTCTTGTGCGTTTGAACATCTGCATGAGCAATGTTTAAATCTTCAGTGACAAATTGTTCACACGAATTCTACCACCAGGTTAAACTTTGTATTTTCCACTTTTAAATCTGTTGGGATGTAATTCCTGCAGTTTTGCACAGCTTGAGAATTAAATAAAGCAGGCAAACCTCCTGTCACCAGTCTGTGTTTCTATCACTGCGGAGCCCGCAAGGGGACAGGAGGGATATTTTTTCCCCCATTTTGCATTACCACGCAAAAGTTTGTCGTTTAACTAAATTTAACAAGACTTTTATTTTGAAATATCCGGTTACCGCAAAAGGATGTGTTTCCACAAGTTCAGGAAATTGACGTTGATGTTGCGTGGCTGAACAGAGTTAAAATACTGCATTTGACATACATGCGTGGCTGTGTGATATATTCATTCCGAAACTGAATTAAAGTAGCAGGCTAATGGTGAGCATGTGAATTTGTTAACAAGCCTGCAGGCACAACACTGTTAAACGACTTTTGCGAGATAATGCAATACTATTGCGTGGGAACGCAAAAGAAAATCCCTCCATGTCCCCTCGCGGGCTCCGTACCATCACTGCCAGTTCTGACATTTGCATCTTGTTTTTACTGCTGTGTAGCTTCAAGGGTTTCAAACTGTTCAAAGATGGAAGTTGGACATTACCTCTCTGTACACAGCTCACAGTGTTTAAATAAAAACATTGAAGCACCTTGAACTGGTTTTCTCCTTTTTGCTTTCAATTCATTGCTACTTTCATTCCAAGCATGCTGTTATGATCAGAAGTTTACATACAGGTCATGGTCCTATTAATCACTGAAAGCATCTTCTGATGTTTAAGGGTGGAATTAATATACTTCAGTGGTGCAGTTGTTTGAACTTGTAGTTAAAATATACACACTCAGAAAAAGCTAAACTGAGATTTACTTCAAACCTTTCCTGTTTTAGGTCATGAATCTTCAAATTGTTGTAGTTGTTAAATACCTGAATAACGTTTTACTATCCTCAGTCAAGTTTACATACATGTTCTTAATAAATGGTAGTGTTTGTATTTCAGCATCTGTTCTCACTTGAACCCAACCGCAGGCTGAGAACCTGAGAACAGAACCTTTCTTTGTTTACCCAATCCATCTAATTTTGTTCCCTAAATGGCTTCTTTTGAGCTGATCAGGCCTGGTTTAACAGATTACTTTGTTGTTGCATCAGAGGGGGAGAAACGTGCATCAACCCTCCTGGGTCAGCGAGGATGAAGTGGACAAGTTATAAATAGGAATTTTACCAATCATGTAACCTGCTCAGTTCACACATAGATGAAGCAAAACCTGTGGGAAAGCCTCAACAGTTTGAGATGAAATCCTGAGTCCCAGAGTGATGCGTGTAAATAAATGTGTAAATGGCATAACTACGTTTGACCTCACCAACGCAGAAAACAGACAAGCTTTGGTTGGTTGTTTCTCTTATTCTATTTGCCTTTTGTATTTCACAATGCGCATTTTTGGTTTTATTTTTCCTGCTTCAAACATAAGCCACACATGCCAACACTGGATCTGGTCTGATAACAGCTGAAAACAAAATCATTGAATACCTGGAAACATGCCTGCACTAAACCAATCAAGCTCATTGGAATTCATAATATTTTAGTTTTACATTCACTGGCAAGTGTACAGCAGGTTCAATGTCTAGTTTGGATGGAGTTAGGACTAAGTGCAGACCTCACATAAAAGACTTGATTTGCAAAGAGTTCCCTATCGAAAAGGGGCACCAGAAAGTAGTGACATCACATTATCAGACAGCTGAAAAAGCGTCCCACAGAACAGTGAAGAACACCTTGGAAGGATGCTTCATATTCAGCATTGCCAGCACTTGTTGGAGTTTGATAGGTTCATGTGAGTTTACAAGTGCAGGAGGTGCATACAGGTCATCCAGGACAGACCACACCAAGAGATGATTACATACTAACCTCTTGACATCTGTGTACTATCTGAATGTAGACATTGGACTATTTACAACATCTTGTATTATCTCGAATTGTCTCAACAGCTGGCATCAGCTGAGCTCCATTTTCACCACCTCATAGGCTATCATTAACACCAGAGTAGAAACTTCATTAAGTGGCACCAAAACCAAAAGGTAGAAGCTGATGACGGGGTATCATGTTCAGTAATAACTTTTAGTTTGTTACCACGGAATACCCTGAGATGGACTTGCAACCTGTCCAGGATGTACACCACCCCTCGCACAGTGATTGATAGATATAAAGTGACCCCCATGACCCTGAAAGGAAGAAATGAGTATAGATAATGGATGGTTGGAGGAATTATCACAAAAGGCCACAGAAATACGTCCACATTACTCCTGACATTACTGTGAGAAACCATCAGGTATCAGGTCTCCTCTGGTGGTGATTCAGGGAACTTCGACAGCACAGACCGACACTATCCTCATGTCCACTTCTTACCATACCTTGCCTGCAACATCCCACAGAGCAGACAGATGTGGGCCACATCTGGTGTCAAGCTGGCACTGCTGGCATGGCAGGTGGTTTGTCAAGGTGTGGGTCAGGTCTGGCTACGATGGCACTGTTTTTAAGATGACGTCACAACTGGCCTGGTTGTGGTTTGGTTTATGTGGTGCTGGCCCATGCATGGACCACCAAAGGGCCATCATTCTTTGCAGTATCTTGGCCGAGTGAGTATTTATAAGCATTGTATGGCTCAGAACTGGGCCAGGCAGATTTTGTTGTGTGGGATATTGAGACTGTCTGACTTTTTCCCAAATCCAACATTCAACACTTTGTTCTCTTCGTATCCAGGTCCAAGGGGTGACACACGATACTCAAAAAGGGACCTGATGATCCGTTTAATCTGTTGTGTCTAAAATTGCAGCCAAGTTTCATAACCATAACACAAGTGATTTCATTTCCACCAATGTCTGGGTCCTAAACCTTATTTTTTTATGTATACCATGTAATGTCATGCTATATACTTTGTGGTGATGATACTACAGGAAATATTCATTGCATCTTTGTAGGAAAACAATACCAGAAACCCATTGTTCCTCTAGATATCACACTGTTACAAGGTCACAGTGAATTTCATTCACGTCACTTTGAAATACAATCGAATCCCTTCACTCACTAAAACCTCCTAAGCTTACCTAAATAAACTAAACATTACATCATCTAAATGTGTCCTCAGCGTTTCCATTATTGTGCCACCATCTCAAACCCCCCCCCTCCAATTCTGTTGAGTGTAATCTGTTGTGACGCCACTGATCCCAGCGCTACAAATCCCACTTCCCCTGCCACCCTGCCACCTCTGCTCCACACAGACCCCCGTGAGTCCCCACCATCTACCACACATCGACCATAGGTGAGCTTCCTTTGCTTTGTCTCAGCCTCCTCTGCCTTGTGCTGATGTAAAACTCTGTGTTTGTTGTGCAGCAGTTTAGACCATGAGGCTCTGATGCTGTTTTTATGAAAAGATCAGAAGCCTTGTCACTTTTTATTTGTGTAAACTAGATTTTAATCTGTAAAAGTAAAGCTTATGTTGTAGAAGTTGTTCATCAGGTTATGGTACATCACTCAGTTGATACAGTCTAGGGTTTTAAGTATTCTTAATGAAACCATATTCTGAAATTAGTGCACAAAAAAGCTATTTTACGTTCACCAAACTCACTAAAACCGTGATGGAAGAGGCTTTCAGTCAAAAAAAAAAACTTTTGTTGTACTGAAAGCTGTTTGAAAACTCTTGGGAGGCACAGATGCTGTTCAGATGGCAGCAAACTTTACAAATCTGAATATTTATGCTCAAATTGAAGAGTTTAGCCCCTGACAGCCACTGTAAAGCTGTTCATAATCAACCCCAAAATGCTGTCAGCCATAAAGCTCCTGATCAATCATCCAGAAGTAGGCAAGTGTCAAAAATAGCCCAGTGAAAGTGCCCTGTGAGAGCTGAGAGGGTGGAATGAAGGGGGATTAATAAGGAGCACAGAGTTTCAATTGTTCTTTTATTGACTGGGAATCACAAATCTCCTCTCCTGTTTCCACAGACTGTGTAAAGCTGATTTAAAGAACAGAAAGCATGGCTGTAGTCGTAAGTATTTCTATTTTTACTAAACTGTGGAGAATTATATTCAATCTTTTTACCCAGGTCTCCTGTAACAACATATACTAAAGCCCCAAGATGATGTCATCATTGGTGGACAAAGTACTCAGTTTACTTGTGTCAAAGTACTGATCCTACTAGTCAAATATTACTCCAGTAAAAGTATCTCCTAAATTATTACTTAAGTTAAAGTACTGGCTTTCAAAACTACTTACGTACTGATGGACTTCAAATTTGACATTTTTTAATAATGCATTTCACTTCAGTGTAGTTGTAAATAGTGGGAAATTTTTCTATTTTGGACAGATCAAATATATAAAAATCAATTAATCAAATATAATGATAATAATGCATTAGTTTTATATAGTGCTTTTCTAGACACTTAAAGATGTTTTCACTTTCATGCATTATTCATTTACTTAGTCACACTCAGTGGTGGAAGTGTGGCACCTATGCTCCCTTCAGACCACCACAATCACACCAACAGATTTATACATGGGGAAGTTGCATTTTGCCCAGGGAAACAATGATGCACGCAGGCAGGGATTTGAACCAGCAATGCTTTTGTTGCAGGATGAACACCTACCGCCTGCACCACTAGTCACCACTTGAAGGACAAGATGTGGAACAGTTTTTGATTGAACCTCGTATTAAGTGACTCATTAAGGAACTCTGAAGCTAACCTGAGCTTTTTAGCTATTTGTAATATTTGTATTAGTTTGCTGAATTGAAAATAATGTTTGTTGCAATAAACCAGGAAAACTTTTGTACAAAACAATTCAACAAAGTTTATATGGTAGAAGTCTAAAACACTAAATTCAATTCTGTCCACCTACCTCAACATGCTTTTAGAGGTTAGACGGTGAGTTTTTGTAGGCCTTGATCAAGTTTGTCTGATGCAAACATGTAAAACAATACGAATCAACTGCCTCAAACAAAAGTTTAAGATCAGGTAGAGTCGTCGTCGTGTACAGCAGGCGTAGCTATCATTGCCTGATCTGAGCACCTAAATCAACACGACTAAAAAGATTATTATTATTATTATTATTATTATTATTATTATTATTATTATTATTATTGTTATTATTATCCTCACAACTGGTTTAAAGCTGCTTATCACCACCTACTGTATGGGGTATAGTGTGTTTTACAGTGTATAAGTGGAATAAAATAGATGCAAGTAACTAAAGTATTGGAGTAAAACATATAATTTTATCAATAAAGTGTAGTAGAGTGAAAGTAATTGGTTAAAAAAAGCTACTCAAGTAAAGTAAAAATTCTCAAAAACTGTACAGTACTCAAGTACATTTATTTTGTTACTGCCCACCCTGGATGTCCTTCATTTAAGCTCCTCCCTCACAAACATCCTCCTGTAACAGCTTCAGCTGCAGCTCAACGTTTCTCAAAGCCAAAGCTCTTTGTTATGGAGGCCCACAGCTACAGTAGCTGCTAATCTCTGATCTCGGCCTCAGGCCCACAAGCAGTCCTTCTTCTGTGTTTACAGGCTTTTCTAGACTCGTGAAGGAGATTAACCAACACTGAGGCCCATTGATTCTGCTCCCGCAGCACTAACTAACAGGCATGGTGTGGATTAAAGCAGCGCAACCACATCATGTGATCGAATTATACCCACACAGAAATCCATTCAGCTTTTATCAAACCAAAGTCTTGCACAGTTTGTGCTCTTTATAAAAGGACAAATAAGCGAGGTGTTGTTTTTTGTGCTTATAAGGAAACAGCGTAGACATACAGTATGAAACAACTGCTAACTTCATTAATACAATACTTTCACTTCAACTTTCCTGTCACAGAAAGTCTTGGTAAAAACAAACAAAAAATACAAAATAATTAACTAATAATTTTCAGCATAGGAACAGAGTAACAGATGATGTCATAGTGAAACATTTTTTCAGCTTATAGGTCTGTATTATCGAGCTTCAGTTGAAACAAGAACTTTTTTAACTTCATCTACAACTTTGACACAAAACTGACAAGTCTTGTTTTATTTTTATTTTGTAATAAAGGAACACATAAAATCTGATTTAGTCATGTGTTTGTCACACATTTTCAACATAGGATGTTGCTCGTCCAGGTGATCTTTCCCTTCCAGAACAATGATGTTTTAGAGAAACAGACTTGATCATAAAATACAAAACTGTTAAAAGACACTTTTGTAGTATAGTTCAAAATTTCCTCATTGTTTCTAGGACCTCTGTTTTATCATCAAAGTTGAATTGTTTCATAATCTCTTCAGAGTGGAACTTACCGCATGGTGTCGGAGGAGGAGCAGGCTCTCAGGGCCAAGCTGGAGCGTCTCACTGTCAAGGACCACGGTCCAGTGTTTGGACCTTGCACCAGCCTGCCAGACCACACCAAGCAGAAGGTAGCCACATCTGTTTCCTCACTGAGGAAACACAGGTCAGACTTTGTGGACAGAACAGCTGTTCATAAAGCTGCATGATGTTCAGAACACACAAAACATTTCACGAGGAACGATGAGGACGTGCGGTTATTGTTCAAATAGTGGTAGATTAGTAGAACAAATGTTTGCTTTAACAAGTGCAACAAAGGTTTGAGAGTTTCAAACAGTCCAGATGTGAAAAGTCGTTTCCACAGCACGTATACCTTTTGCAGAAATAAAATAGTGCATTTGAAGGTCTCACAAGTCAGAAAAATACTTTAAGGCTAAAACTTGGAGATTACTTGTGGTTAAACAGACACTGGTCAGAGAATAGTCCAAGCAGAACCAAAACAGATTATTTCAAAAATGCTTCCCAAGTTTCATAGTATTTTGTTTTACAGATTTTAAAAACACCACCTTTTGTTTTGGCTCTGTTGACAAGCTGTTAGTTGTCTGTCCCGTCAAAATAACCTGTTTTAAGATAAGGTCCAACTATATAATTATACCTGACTCAAATGCATAGACTGGGTTCTGAAGGAACGTTCTGTAAATAATTATGGGTAGTTAGTACAGTCTCTTCTGTGTGGAGGAAAGGCTAGAGAAGGTGAGCCTGCTGGTTCAGAACCAACCATTATATCAAAACTTCTTCCACTTTGCATGGTCAATAGTCCCCATCTTTACTCTAGATCAGTGATTCCCAATAAGGGCATATTACAGGGGGTATGTGAAAAAATTTCCCAGGTATGTAAAAAAAATAGGACCGGGATATGTAGGGCCCTACGATTTCTGCAATGCGGAAAATACAGATGGAATCATGGAATTTACACAAAATAGAATCCAGTATAAAACATGAAATCTCACAAAATTTGCTTATTTGGGCAAGTTTCTGGTGTATTTTTGGACGCTGCTGCTTCCTGCACCTGCCATTACTTGGTTTATTTATTTAATTACTTATTCACTTTCAAAGCAACGTTTTTGTCTTTGTTTAATTTGAGTTGAAAAGAATAAATTGCCTGAGAATTAAACATTCCAGGGGGTTAAATAAATTATTTTCATTTAATAATCAGTTGTTGTACATTATAGTTTTGGAAAATTATCATTATGTTTGACAGAGGGGGTACTTGTGGTATGACAAAATGGCTCAGGTGGCACACAAGTCTGAAAAGGTTGGGAACCACTGCTCTAAATCAGTGTTTTTCAAAGAGAGGGCCACTAGGGGGTGTTGGTAGGCATCAGAATGCTGGAGGGAAAATAATAAAAAATAAATATAAGAAATGTTTTAAATCATTATCAGGAAATCAATAAGTTTTCCAATCATTATTTTAAAATCTAATTCATGATAATAAACTGAAATGTTATTTTAAAATGTTTGTTTTTTTTTCTGTTCTAATCAACAGTTTATTGATAAGTTGTTGTTTTTTTCAGTGTGAATTTAACAGAGTGTAACCTATGCGTGTTGGGAATAGACCATAGATGGTGCTGAATGTATCAGTTCTACTGATCAGCGGGTCAATAAGGCCAAATGATTACTCAGTTTCTGACAGACTGACACATTCAGCAGCCTCAGGACCATCACTCAGCACATATACACAATAAGTTGGTTGGTTGAGAAAACCATGACAAACTAAACAAACTGCATCATGCTACAGTGTAGCACTTTAATATTAGGTAATGTCATGTGCTTTAATGCTGGTATGTCGATTTTGAAAGAGGTTTGTCTCAGAAGCCTGAAAAATGATATAAACAGGTCCTCATTTGTTGAGTCAATACCCTGAAAAACACTTTTCACCTTGTTTCCATACACCGGGCTCTGTGACTGATGTCAGGGCTGACAAGGTGCTAATCATTGATATTTATTTGACAAAACATCTCTTATACCGTACGTTCTTGTTTGACTCCTCCCTGAAGGCCAAGGATGAGCTGAACGAGACAGATGAGAACCGCGTGGCTGCAGTGAAGGAGCTGCGAGCGATGATTAAAGAAAAGGCCGATGCAGGAGACGACCTGGCCAAAGGTGTGCAGGACACCTTTGGGGAGAAACCAGACAGTTTGATGATCCGCTTCATTCGTGCCAGGAAGTACGACGTGGTCAGAGCCTTCGACCTCATGAAGGGTGAAGATGACTTGGGATTTACTAACAACATATTTTTTCATCTGAATATAAAACCATTGTTGCAAAAGCCTGAATCCATATACATGAACTGGATCCATATGATTGAACTGGATCCATATGATTGAACTGGATCTACATACATGAACTGGATCCATATACATGAATTGGATCCATATACATGAACTGGATCCATATGATTGAACTGGATCTATATACATGAAGTGGATCCATATGCATGAAATGGATCCATATGATTGAACTGGATCTATATACATGAAGTGGATCCATATGCATGAAATGGATCCATATGCATGAAATGGATCCTTATGATTGAACTGGATCTATATACATGAACTGGATCCGTATGATTGAACTGGATCCATATGATTGAACTGGATCTATATACATGAACTGGATCTGTATGATTGAACTGGATCCATATACATGAACTGGATCCATATAATTGAACTGGATCCATATGATGGAACTGGATCCATGTAATTGAACTGGATCCATATGATTGAACTGAATCCATATGATTGAACTGGAGCCATATAATTTAATTGGATCCATAACTGAACTGGATCCATATAATTGAACTGGATCCATATAACTGAACTGGATCTATGTAATTGAACTGGATCCATATAACTGAACTGGATCCATTTGATTGAACTGGATCCATATAACTGAACTGGATCTATGTAATTGAACTGGATCTATATAACTGAACTGGATCCATATAATTGAACCAGTTCCATATAATTGAACTGGATCCATATAACTGAACTGGATCCATATAACTGAACTGGATCCACATAACTGAACCAGATCCATATAACTGAACTGTAGTGACATGGAAAACAATATGTTCAAAGCAAAACCAACAATTTGACTGGTGTAAATTTGTACAACTCATTTCAAAACAAAGACCTAACAGGCCTGATCTGATCTTCCTTTGCCTCTCTTCAGGATATGTGCGTTTCAGGAGGGATTACCCCGAGTTGTTCGAGAACCTGACCCCGGAGGCCGTACGCAGCACCATCGAGGCTGGTTACCCCGGCATCCTGCACAGCAGAGACAAATATGGCCGTGTGGTTCTGCTCTTCAACATCGAAAACTGGGACTACGAAGAGATCACCTTTGATGAGGTGGGGTTTCATTTTCAATTTGAAAGAGGAAGACAGAATCCACATTTGAAGGTTTAGTGTAACTGTGGTAGTGACAAGCCCTGGTTGTGTGTTTAGATTTTGCGTGCTTATTGCGTGATCCTGGAGAAGCTGCTGGAGAACGAGGAGACTCAGATCAATGGATTCTGCATCATTGAGAATTTCAAAGGCTTCACGATGCAGCAAGCTTCGGGAATCAAACCCACCGAGCTCAAGAAGATGGTGGACATGCTGCAGGTGAGAAGTCATTCATAACCTTATGCTAAGCTGAGAGTAAAAAGACTGAGGTAACAAAGTCAAGTTGTGTTTGCTGAAGAGGGAATCAAATAGGAAGAAAAAGAGTCTCATATTGTACCGTTTGTCTAATTTCTACCATACCATCATATGTTTTTTGTCACCCCCCAGGATTCGTTTCCTGCTCGTTTCAAAGCTGTGCACTTCATCCACCAGCCTTGGTACTTCACCACCACCTACAATGTGGTCAAACCCCTCATGAAGAGCAAGCTGCTGGAGAGAGTGAGTCAGACTCATTCAGTTTAAAATAAATCAAATTAGAAGGATTGTTTCACATCATCGAGAGCAGTAGTCCCCAGTCCTGGTCCTCGAGGGCCACTATCATGCATGTTTTGTTCCTCTGCTTTGACACCAGATTTGAATGAATGATTGGTTAGCAGGCCTCTGCAGGACTTGAAGTCATGCTGGAGAGCAGAGTGTTTGTGAAGACTGAAAAGTTTAAATTGTTTCAGACTTGCATCCCCACAGAAACAGCACCCCAACACTGTATGTTTTTAAAGGGTTCTAGAGTATGTATTAAATGCAACCCTTAAATTTGTACAGACAGTAAAAATGCAACATTTGAAAATGATGTCACAGTCTCACCTCTAATCTAACCTACAGCATGAGGGCGTCCTCTGTGCATTTCTCACTTAGTGGCCGTGTCTTAATTCAGTAGTTACAACCTCCAGAGTGCAGATTTGTAGGCCTTCACGGCTGACGATATCCGTTGCACCGTCATTAATTTGTACAGAAAAATATTTTTTTTACTTTATTTGTAATTGACAGGAAAAAGAAAGAAAGCGACTGAGTTTGGAAAGTCATCACAGACCAAAGAATTCATTGTATAAGAACTTAGCTGATGAATTAAGGCTGCGAAGTGATGTTAAACAATGAATATGAAGAGTGGAATTAAACTGAATGGGCTTTTGTGCTTAGCTAGAGCTAAACCTGAATTATTAATGCCTTTTGTGTTATTATGTGTCACACAAACATACATCCTTCAAAGAATAGACTGTCTCATTTAACAGCCGTTGTATTCAGAATACCCGGACTGCAAGGGGCGTGGCCTCCATAGGCTATGGTCTATGTGGCTGCAACCTATGAACTAAAACATATGTGCTCCATCATGTGCACTTTTTCCTGTTGTTGGTGTTTTCTATTGGCAGTGCCACATACAGGCCTGGCATGATTACCACAACCTTTTATGAGGTTTGTGTTTCTGTGTGGATGTCGAGAAACAATGCTGTGTTTTTAGAAATGACAAATGAAAACATTACTTTGGTAAAATTATGTTTCCTGTGAAACAGACCTAAAGCAGGAGCTTAAAAAACATAAACACAGTTAAAGGCCACAGAATCAATGAGTGAAAACAAAAAACATAAAGGCCAACCGTACTAAATGGTTATGGGGACTGTAAAGCAGTTGTTGTGGATCTGAAACAAGATTTTCCAAATAGGACAAAAAGAAATGACCTGAAATGATCAGACATTAAGTTTCCATGTAAAAATGAGTAAAAGTAGTTAATAACAGTAATCTAAGTTGGAATTTTTAGAAAATAAAATTGGTTTAGAATAAGACAAGAGGCTTCTGTTAGTTTGTGTTGGTTGAAATGGTTTGTTGTACATCAAATGTTCCTACCTGACTCACAATCACCAATGACTTCTGTTTGTGCTGCAGGTGTTTGTTCATGGAGATGAGCTGGAAAACTACTACAAGGAGTTTGACCCTGAGATTCTTCCATCTGAGTTCGACGGAAAAGGTTCCAAGTATGACGGCAAGGCTACAGCGGCCAAGCTGTTTGATTAAACATCCTCAGTCCCAGTTTCAACGGGTCGAAGCAGCGTTAAATATTAAAAACCTTATCGACTCTGGAGAATCAAAGACCGATCTAGCTGAAGTTGTAGAAACTGAAGTTTTGAATAAAAATATGAGAATGTATTTTCCAGAAGTCCTGCGAAAGCCCCTTTTATGCAGGAGTAAACAGTTTTTGACTTGAAGTTATTTCACTTTGCAAAACAATTTGGACTTTATCCAAGTCATTGAGTTTGTTTCTGTTTTGTTTTCTTATAAATATGACCATCAGAGGGAAAAAAATTCCCCCATATTCATCAATTCCTGACAGTTTTCTAAACCTTCGTGGCTTTTAGAACTGACTTTTTGAACGTTATCATCCAAGAAACCATTATTTTCACTTTCACGGGTCTTGAAACAAGTTGGACATTTACCACAATTAACATTTAAACACTCATTGTGTTAAATTTCTTATTTTTGCCCATTACACCAACGTAAACCAGGAAAAAAAGAACATTAGTGCTCTACACAAGCAAATGCAAACATAGACAGAGGTTATTCTTACAGCAGCTTCCTTTAATCCACTGACTCATCACCACAAGAGCTTTGAGTTTCCTGAAAAGTCACCAACGCAGAGAAGTTGTCAAAACACAATGTGACGCAAATGTAACAAAAATATACACAACTCAGACATTGGTGGAGTAGGGGTCCAAGGTTGTGGAAGATGTTTTACACATCAGATTAACAGAAACCATTAACTGCCCTGGAGGTAGACATTAATGTAAAAACACTTTGTTCAGAAAATAAAAATATTCGGATTCATCAAACTGTGCTCTCATGTTACAGTAAGCATTTAATATGTCTCAATGAACGTGGATCTGTGTGTCCTTTTTGATACACCCGACATGTGTGTGAAACCTGGCACACAACGTTGATATTTGAGGCTCCAGAACATTAGACCTTACTGATCACGGCCTTTTGGTTTTCTCTCCTCAATGAAAACAAAAACAAAAACGTGAAAACCAGCTTACGGACTCTCGGAACTGTGAAGAACAAGAGTATTTGCTCTGATGAAACCAAGTCTGAACTGTTTGGCTTCAGATTTCAATATCTTGTCTGGAGGAAACCAGGCACCACTCATAACCTGCCCAACACTTCATCATGCTGCTTAGTGGTTCTTAGTGACAGGGACTGGGAGACTGGTCAGGGTTGAAAGAACTCTGATTTGAGCAAAGTTCAGAAATCCTTTGTGAAAACCTGAGCTCAGAAATAACAACGGCACAAAAAGAAGACAAGATCGGAGCAACTTAGCGACAACTCTGTGAATGTCTTTGAGTGGCCAGAGCTGTGACTTGAATGGAACCATTTTTAGGTCTCTTAATGGTATCCAACCATACTGAGCTTGAGGATTTGTGTGACAGTGGCTCAGGAGGTAGGAGAGTTATACTGTTAACCAGGCGGTTGCCAGCTCAAACCCCTGCTCCATCCATCTGTTGTTGACCTTGGACAAGACACTTCACCCTCCTCGACTGCTGGTGGTGGTCAGAGGGTCCGGTTCATGGCAGCCTCACCTCTGTCAGTCTTAACTTACCACCATCAGTGTGTGAATGTGTAGATTGCAGTGTGAAGCACTTGAACGTGATAAGGTGTTATATAACTTCATCCCACTTAAAGAAGAATGACAGCACCCCCCCCACACCCACCCCTGTCCAGGCATCACAAAACTTGTATCAAACCAAGTCTTTACTGAACTGTAGCTTAAAGCTGAAAAATAACCCATTTACAAAAACTGAATGCCTTCTGATTATTTTCTGAACACACCAACTTATAATAAATTTAACATCGCCTCATTTTTTAAATTATTTTTTGGTCATCTTTGGGTGTATTTTACTTAAACTTGTTTTAACACTGGTGGGCCCCAGCTTTCTCACCCCCACACCCATCCTGTTTTGTCCCTACTGGATTTAATAGCTTCTGTCTATTTCTGTTTTAGAGCACTCTTTTAGGATGCATTATCATAGGTTTCAGTCATTGTGCAAGTGTACGCACCAATAAAAATGTTTAAAAAAAGCAAAACTGTACAATAAATTGTATATAAATACATGTTTTACTCGTTTTATTCTACAAACAAATTCAAGCACACACCCCTGAAGACAGAAAACAGGAGTGTGAACAGAAACTTTTGTTTATGGCTTGTCAAAACAAAGGAAATATGATCAGGTTAAAAATACATACTGACGCATGTTGTGAAAGAGATAAAATCTGTTAAAGTGCCAGAAAAAAAAAAACAAGGCGATCAGTACATACAGTATATGTGCAGAGTGAAGTGGTGAGCATGTTGCAGGATGTTTTTTTTTTTTTTTTTTACCTTTGCAAGGTTCAACAGTTTATTAATGAGATACATAAATATAAGATCATATTTTGCTGACTTTACTTCACAAATTTGTTGGAGGCTATGCTTATACTGCACAAATTTTGTCATTGTATGGGTACACACAATGATGACAATCCAAAGAAAAGAGCAGAAAATGCTCAGAAAACTGTAGAATTTTTATTTATAATAGATAGAAATCTGCATGTAAAATGAATCTCTTATCATTCAGTCTTTTTTAATGGAATATTGTGGCTTAAACAACAAAACTCTCCTTGTTTCTGATAATATGAACTCCAAACATGTGAAACATAAAAAGCAGAATTAAGAATCACCCCACCTAACAATTTTACTCTTATGCCCAACCTTCATTAAGCTTGAATAAATGCCACACATATATACACAGAATTGTTTTTTTTTAAATTAAGACAAAAGTTCACACCTGGAAGTCCACATCTGGACCTCTCGTTATAATTTATCTGTGCACCTTTTGTTCCCCTCAGCCCTTTAAATCTATCTTTTCTGCATACCCCTTGTCTTGTAGAGCTGTAGCAGGACATTTAGTGCAGGAATAATACACCATGTAAACAGCAACATGTAGAAATTCAAGACACCTGACTTCTCAGCAATAAATGTAAAAGAGACATTTGTTAAGTGCAAGTTTTAAAAGGCATTAAGGAGGAGATATCGGAATGGTAGAAAGTGACAAAGATCAGTGCAATGTCTGCATTACCATGTTAAAAAAGTATTTGCATAAAGTGCTCATACAGTTTTATCAATTCTTTACTCTCTTGAAATAAAATTCCTCACTTGGACAAATAATATCTAAGTAAATTTGAATAAAAAAGTAAAAAAAAAATATTTATATATAAATTAGGAATTCTGAAAACAATCACCAGTTTAAATAATAAAACAAATCCATGGCTGCCCGTGAATGTAGTTCTTTGCAGAAACCTAAACCTGTTATCCACACAAAAGATATTTCAGATCTGTAGCAGTGAGGTTCTGGTGAAAAGTTACAAACATTTAATCCAAACCTCAGTCTTACCCAATGGCTCTTTAAAACAGCCTCAGTCTGGATGAACAGACTTCATGCTACAGGCTCTTTTAGAAAAATGTTCTATGAAATGGTCCCACAAAACCAGAGCCTTTACGCTGCCTCTGGCCGTTCAAAAATCATTCATGTGGTCGGCCACATCCCGCAGAGACGTGAGCTTTCAGAGATGAAGCACACATTTAATGTGTGACGGACGTCTCTTTTGTTGTTTTTAAAACAAATGACCTCAGTTTAGCAATCCTCTTCAACATTTCTTTAGCTAAATACCAAGCTACAGTGCATCATCACTGATATGCCAGTTGATAAAAACATCTGTTGGTTGTTTGATTCCTTCCTACATTATTATTTGCTAACATTCAGGCATCAGTCCTGTCAAACTTAAACTTTGTTTCTCCAAAATGAGTTTTTTTAAATTGCCATCTCCAACAAGTAAGATATTAATTGTTCAGACCTTCCAGAGAACCCCCCCTCTTTAAAAAATATTAACTCTTCCTTTAAGGCACTTTGATGAGTCCAGTTTCTGAGATTTCCCACATGGTTAACATTAAATATAAATACTGGAGCATTCATCCACCTAGCTGAACAAACATTTTAACAGAGCCCTTTGAAAAAGCATAGATGTGTAAGGTAACACACTGAAATATTAAATCACTTGTCTGTTAAAATGGAAGCCACAGCAGACTGTAAAACACCAGCAGAGGGCGAACTACCACGTTACATCAGAGATTAAGTTAGAACAATAAACAAGTGAAATGTGCAGAAGTGTACAAATAGCTGAAGAACATGTGCTTTTCAGTCTGTGTGTGTTTGGCCCTGAAGGTGTGTGTGAGTGTGACCCACTAAGAGTTCATTATCTCGTTGCCTCTTGTCTGGCAGACACGCCCGTCTTCTCCCACTGGCAAATGGCATTGGCGTACTCCACGATGGTCTTGTCCATCCAGGTGAGGGGCTGCGGGAAAAGCCCGTCTCCTTCAAAGAAGCCCATGTGTCCTCCGTGTTGGGTCAGGGCAAACATTATGTTGGCCATCTTATCTAAAGAGTACAACAGACAGGAAGGAATGTGAGGTTTCAACTCGCCAAACACGGTTCAAAGCATCCCGACAGACATTCATTTTAATTTACAGGTTTGAGTTTACAGGATTCATCACATGATTCTCATTGGCCCCCACATGGCCAGCCTATTAAACATTTCTGAAGGCACAGTGATATATTTCAAGTGTTACTGCTATTTTTATAACTTAGAGCTAAAGAAAACCTGAATTTCCGTTTCAATTCCTCAGAAAACTGAACTATTGCATAAGACCAGCAGATTCACAAGGTGTGGACTGTGGCTGGTGTCAGTGCAACACACAGATGTATCCAGGGCTACAAACGTTGCCTTTTCTTGTGTCAAGCCGCTCCAGAGATAAAGTCAGAAGCATCTTACCTGAGCTAAGAATAAAAAAAGGACTGGACTGTGGCTCAAGGGTCCAATGTCCTCTTTTAAGATGAAAATATATTTTGCACTTCATTTGGAAATCAATGTCCCAGAGTCTGGAGGAAGAGTGGAAGCACAGAATCCAAGCTGCAAGCTTTAGGGAGAAACTGAATGTGTTTTCCAGAAAGACTTGGTACCTGTCCACCCTTGCAAAAATACCAACATTTGCTTTGCTCATGGTACCACTGAGCTTGATTGGCCAGCAAAGCCCACAGAGATTCTATGGAGTGTTTTAAGAGGAAGATGAGAAATATCAGACCCATGAGCTGAAGGTCAACATCAAAACAACCTGAGATCCCAGAACACCTCTGCAGGTCCACCAGCTGATGGCCTCCATGCCACCTGGTGCAGCCAAAACCAAGTACTGAGTGCATTCACTGTACAGTACATGTACAAATTATGTAGTAGGACAAGATTGTTTGTAATAATTATTTGTTATATTGGTCTTATGCAAGTTTTTAAACTCTACTACACAGAAGAAACACCAGTCAAAGTTTAAACCAGAATCAAAAAGTTTAATTTTAAAATGACTGAACAGGCATTTGATATCTTTAATGTTTTTATAAGTAATTGGAGTTTAAGTTTAATGATGCTATATCTATTAGTATTCTATATTTAATGAGTTTCATTTTTTAAATTGAATTATTGAAATAAACAAACTTCTCTGTAACATTACCGTTATCAGTTGAGCAGTACCTGTGGTAGATAACCACTCTTGAGTTAGTTCCTCTTTCAGAAGAATCAGTAAATGTTTGTTTTTCTGACTAAGACTCAAGGCTTTATAAAAAAAACGCGCACTTAAGTATTCACAGGTAAGTTGTCTTGTACCATCATCGTTCTTAAAATGAGCTGTTAAAAAGTGATCAGTTAGTAAATATACTCAAAAATACTGAAAGAAAAGCCAAAGCAATGTAATGTGTATCATTGTATCACATGTTCTCTTCACAGAAACAGTAAATCTCTGGAAAATTACTCAAATTTGAGGTCAAACTCTATAAAAATATATATTTTTAAAATCTCATCATCACACAGAACATAAGCCATGTGAGGTTTTGTCAGTAATTCTATGATTACGATGTCCCAAAATGCTTCTGCTTGTTGTGGCAGTTTAACTAAACGTGACCAAGACTTCCTGTGCAACAGGTTTAGTTTCTCTTGTGATCATATCACTCGTGCACTGTCAGTTCTTATTTCTGTGTAAAGATAATGTTAAAACAGGTCTGCCCTCTTAGTGTTCATAATGTTCTATTGAACTTGATTCATTGAGGTTCACTTGCTCCTTGACTCTGGTTTAATGACCTCAAATCTCTGAGGAAACTATCTAGTTTAATGAACCACTATAATCACCAGCTAAATACTAATTATCACTGAAGATAAAGCAGCAACAATGATTTTATTTCTCTCTCTCTCTCTCTCTCTGTGTGTGTGTGTGTGTGTGTGTGTGTGTGTGTGTGTG